AAGCCATGTTTGATAGAGCATAATTCAAAAGTATTCTGAATCTACTCAAAAAGTTGAGCAGGTACTGTGATTTTTACCTTTGTAGTTGACTTAGAAAAAAAGTTATAACATTTCAAAAATCAAAGAATCAAAATAATGACGTTGGCAGCGATTGTGTGTAATTTTGACCTGTAAAATATTTTAAGAAGACAGTAAATATACAATAATGTTTTTAATATTATGATTGTAACACATATTAAACTTGATTATGCTGAATTTTCAAGGTGATATTTTAAAACCACATTAGGTTCTACTACCAAATGCGACTACCCTTATTTGTCAAATTTCTGGCTGGACCATAATGGGATGCATCTATTTGGTAGTATTCATGCTTGGTTGATGTCCATATTTACCTTACTAACACAGAAGTTAGTAGGGTATTAGAAATCAAAAACAGTTTTGGATTAGCCCTTCTAGTTTTTGAGATATGGTTGAGCAAAAAGAGCTGAAAGCCTGGTCACGTTCATTCTGAAGCCATGTTTGGTAGAGCATAATTCAAAGAGTATTTTTCTAAGTAATTATCTGAATGCAGAATCTGAATCTACTCAAAAAGTTGAGCAAGTACTGTGATTTTTAGCTTTGTAGGTGACCTAGAATTAAAGTTATGACATTTCAAAAATCAAAGAATCAAAATAACGCCAACGTCGCCAGCGTTTATGTGTAATTTTGACCTGTAAAATATTTTAAGAAGATGGTAAATATACAACAATGTTTTTAATATTATGAATGTAACATATATTGAACTTAATTATGCTGAATTTTCAAGTTGATATTTCAAAATCCACATTGGGTTCTACCACCAAACGCAACTACCCTTATTTGTCGAATTTCTGGCTGGACCATAATGGGAGGCATATATTTGGTAGTATTCATGATTGGGTTATGTCCATATTTACTTTACTTACACAGAAGTTAGTAGGGTATAAGAAATCAAAAACAGTTTTGGGTTAGCCCTTCTAGTTTTTGAGATATGGGTGAGGAAAAATAGCTGAAAGCTCTGTCGCGTTCATTCTGAAGCCATGTTTGTAATTATCTGAATGCAGAATCTGAATCTACTCCAAAAGTTGAGCAAGTACTGTGATTTTTAGCTTTGTAGGTGACCTAGAAAAAAAGTTATGACACTTCAAATATCAAAGAATCCAAATAACAACGTCGTCGGCGGCTCTAAAGGGTGCCACGCCCACTTTTTCGGACACCGGTATCTCGGAAAGTATTGGTCTGATTGAGCTGAAATTTTGCATTTTTCTTAGTTACTGAACTTACAACAAACCCTGAAAATTTAAACAAAATCTGAGATGGTGACTTCCGCGGCCACGTTGAATTGGCATGGAATGACCCAGATTTAAGAAAAGAACAATATAATATTTAACCAAATTACATGAAAATTCATAATCATTACTTGTATTGTAAACATAAATATATTATAAGAGATCTTTAGGCAGTGCGGTTAAGGCAGGGTCACCGCAACCTACCTCCATAATATCGGTGCAGGTTCGAACAGCACACTTAAACCAAGACTCGATAAGGACTATAAACGGTAGGCCCAGTGTACACAATACCTCGTGTGCACTAATAAGAACCCGGTACATTATTCGAGAAGATTAGGGGATACCCCGGTGTACTAGTACAGACAGCCCTTGGGGAGGACGGCAAGAGTTGCTGGTACCAGGTTACCAGGTAGCACAGACACGAAGGGACCGTTAAGAGGGAACGAAAGTCATTGATCGAGTTACTAGTCCACATATCAAGCGCCATGAGCATCTTCTTTGATGGATACCAGCGCTATACAAATCTACACTATTATTATTATTGCTCCAAATAAGGAATTTGGTACTCGCATTAAAATATACAATTGACACTAAAAATATTTTAACAATGATTAAATGCAGCAAAAAATTCAATAACTACAAGATGAAAAATATATAACAACAGCCATTAAAACATTACAGTATTATCAGTAAAAAAAGGGGGAAAACTAAGAAAAAATATTATTTTGTTGTTACAATTGTTTTATTTATTATTATTATTATTATTATTATTTTATTATTATTATTATTATTATATGTTTACCTCTATTTTCATCCAGTGATGAGAAGGTAGATTAATAATATATAGTATAACTTATAGACTATAGTCAGTTTTAGAAAGATGCAGTGACTATGTACACATACGTCAGTAAGCAAAGTAATTGATACTCCATTTGCATCACACCACTGTAAAAGAACAACAATCTTTTGTATGCTGTAAGAATTCATGAAAGTAGGCTGGTGCTAAAAATAATTGTTCAGTACAAATGTGATGGTAACGTATAATGAAGAAAATATTGATGTCAAGCAATATTTAATTTAAGCAAATTATCTATATGCGTGTCACTATTTTTTCATTGCATATAACTTTTCAATCTGACTAATTTATAGCTACCAGGTCCTCCTGCAAAATATAATTAATGAACGAACATTAATTATATTTCTTGATTACCATAAATTTTCAGCACTTTTAACTTCTCTAATATTCTCATTCTCTTTAGGCGTCTTAGCAGCAATCGATAAAGACCAAACCAGCATTTCAAATCATTTATCCCCTATTTTCGTGCCTACAATGATAACTACAAATAGGCATATCATAGTCAATTTATCCATAAACCTCAATTCAACAATTATGACTTACTTTTAGCTCTGATGAAGATTTCTGAATCTTATTAGTAAATGTATGCTTAAAGGATTGTTGTTAACTGAGTTAATATTAATATTAATATTAATAATACTATTCTTATCAATTAAGAATAATATTTATTCATAGATATTACTTAACATATTAACTAATTCAAGGATATGGTTAAATATAAAATAAGATTATATTCAAATTATAATGTAAAATTTACAAATAAGAAAATCACTAAACAACTTATCAAAATTCTAAAACCAGCAAAAAATTCATATAGTAAACCAAATAGTGCAATGTATTTGGAGAATGATTTAATAAACAAGATGACACAAGTACTTAAGGAAGTTATTTTCAAGGTTGATGTCAAAAGGGATTTTCCAAATTGTGTCATATGCAGGCAGAGCCTACTATTTAGGAATACGTAGTCGAAAATTTACATTTGTTCATTTTAAAAA